GGAAGGAAGGAAGGAAGGAAGGAAGGAAGGAAGGAAGGAAGGAAGGGGAGAAGGAAGGAAGCTTTTAAACACTACATCACTGTATTCACAAACCAAGCAACTGGGATAACGTTTGTGTTGGTTTAAGCACACAATCAAGTGAATTTTCCATTGTTCCCACCTGTTCACAAATAGCCTCAACTGTTGTGCCTTTGACCTGCTTTGGCTCAGCCCTACATGGAATCTGCGCTCTTGGAATACCCCGGTCCTGGGCTCCTCCACCACAGGGCTGGCCTTAGCAGCAGCTGGGAAAACCTCCTGGGGAACAGCTGGTGTCCAAAGCCCCACATTTCTGCCATTGCTGAGGGTCAAGAGTAGTTTTCTGCAATAATGGTATTTTGGGGACACATTTCACTGAAATAACACTTTACATTTACATGGTATTTTTCCATTGACTAATAACTCTCCCAGTCATTATCTCATTTGGTCCCACTTGGTCTTCAGAATGAACCTGGCCGACTCTGTTATCATTTTGAATCGAGAGCCAAAGCTCTGGCCTAGGTTTGATCCATGCTCTGATGCTTAATTCCATGAACGATGGTGCTGGGCAAAACCACCTTAACTCTCAGGACTCCATTTCCTCACTATGAAATGAGAAGACTAGACTAGATGATCTTCCCTTAAAGTGAACATTTGCAGACAAAGGCCTCAGGCAACCTTTCCCCCAGCCAATTCCACCCACTGCTGAATGAAATTCAGACCTGTCCGTCACCTTTATCACACGACTTACTGCTTACCCACTCAGACGCCACTAAAACAAACCCAAACCACCTTGGGATGTGTCATCGCAAATAAGCTGCTTCATTTAATCCCCCCAACAAACTCTAATAAAGGAGGAAGCTCAGGTATTGGTACCTCTAGTTTTTAGATGAAGAAATTGAGGTGAGAATCAGTGATTTCTGGCAACCACACAGTAGGTAGCAAAGTTCTACCTTCTAGTTCTGAGGAAACCAAACCATCTTGGGAATGAAAAAGTTAACACTATTCATGAGCATCCAGCTTCACAATGCTGACAACTGTCAACCATTGGGTTGAAAAGAGTATAATCAACTGGGACACAGGACACTCATCTGATTTCTGATCCATGCAAGCCAGCTCATGGGGCCACAAGTGCCTCTATATCAAACTTGATGTTTTGAGCACATTTTCAAATTGCTAATTCCTTAAGGGTGGATGAAGACGGTGTCTAAATTAAAAACCTTCGCCTCCAAGTCGCTCTGCCCTGTGTGTGCCCTGTGTGTGCCCTGCACTTCCTTGTTGATTTGTTTTTCCTGTATTGGGTGGGTCTCTCCTTGACAACTGGGGGCCACATTTAGCCAAGCAGCTGCCCATTGGCGTCTAAAGCCTGCAATATGTAGCTCTGGCAGCATCTCAAAGGATTTATTATTATCATCCCATGATTTCATTATTACTATTATCATCCTTATGAAATGTGGTAGCTGAGCCCACTACAAAGCATTAAGCCTTAGTTTGACATGAAACAGTCCTTTTTCTACACCCCCTTCATAGTTGAGGGATTCCCCCAACCCCCCAGTTTCTGCTCACTGATGGAGGGCTCTAAGAGGTGGCCTGCAGCCATGGTAAGTCAGCCTGAGTGTTCCCACCACCACCACTGTCCTGTCCCAGTGTTGCTTTGAGGGGCAGTAGGCTCTCAAGGGGCTCTTTACCAAACAGAAGGTAATTAGCATGTGATACAAAGAGCACTGAGCCAGGGGGCAAGAGATGAATGGTCTCTGACCAAGGGCAAGTCTCTTTGCCGACCTGGACCTTGGTTTCCTCATATAGCAAATGAGGTAACCAAGTGAGATTATTTTGAAGATTAATCTTGAGATAATCTTGCTTAGACCAGCTCTGATTTTACCCTTTCCCTGGCTTCTGGAAATATCCACAGGGAGAGCACCTTGTAAAAATCTCAGGAAAAGGTCCTCCTACTTCTCTCTTCCACGTTTCTTCCCTCAAAACTAACCTGGTTTACACAAGAC